ACATGTTACTCGTTTAGAAGTGTATTTGTCACTCGTCTAGAAGTGTGTATTGAACCTCACCTAGAGGGTTATTTCCCAACCTAAACAAATATTTGTCAGGTGGACAATCAATTTTAAAATATATTTTAAAATTTATATTTTCGACATGCACATGGGTCTAAAAAAAAGAGATTATCAAATTTTATTTTATAGAGAAAAATATATTTTTATTTTTTGAAATAAGTTTTAACAATTTTTATTGTCCACAAGTCGATTACGTTGTCGGGCGTGGGACTGTCAACCACCTGAGGAGGTTCGAGCCTCCCGCTAGACTTATGTCGGTGAATGATACTGTTATCCTATTGTTCATTAAATATCTGGATCTTTATGTTATAGGATAGGGCATTTTTCTGATCTATTTTTAGTGTGTCTTTATCATCACCACCCTACGGTCCAAAACAAACTACTTGCGACCTTGCTTGATGGTTTCACGTATAGCAAAAGGCTATACGTGGACACTTATGCGTCGGACATAAGCATCGAAAACTGAACCAAGAAGCAAGGAAAGAAAAGAACAAAAATAGGGTGAGAGAGAGGAGGCACTGATCCATCAAAAACACCGAAAAGGTGAATAGATCAGTTCTCAAAACTCCTATTGAAAAGACCTAGAAGAGTAGGGTCCAAGGTCTTTCCTGACTAACATAAAGGGCTACTTTGCGCTGATTTTTTTTTTAAACCCCAAAGACATAAGATTAATCAAATCAATCAAATGTTCTCCCAAATAAGGCTTGCAAATACTCCAAATCCCCAAGTTGATATCAAAATCTCCCAACTCCCAAATTAATCCATATTCTCAATGCACTGAGGTGTAAGACCCACGGCCTGTATCTCCCGCTAGACTTATGTCGGTGAATGATACTGTTATCCTATTGTTCATTAAATATCTGGATCTTTATGTTATAGGATAGGGCATTTTTCTGATCTATTTTTAGTGTGTCTTTATCATCACCACCCTACGGTCCAAAACAAACTACTTGCGACCTTGCTTGATGGTTTCACGTATAGCAAAAGGCTATACGTGGACACTTATGCGTCGGACATAAGCATCGAAAACTGAACCAAGAAGCAAGGAAAGAAAAGAACAAAAATAGGGTGAGAGAGAGGAGGCACTGATCCACCTAAAACACCGAAAAGGAGAATGGATCAGTTCTCAAAACTCGTATCGAAAAAGAAGAGTAGGGTCCAAGGTCTTTCCTGACTAACATAAAGGGCTACTTTGCGCTGATTTTTTTTTTAAACCCCAAAGACATAAGATTAATCAAATCAATCAAATGTTCTCCCAAATAAGGCTTGCAAATACTCCAAATCCCCAAGTTGATATCAAAATCTCCCAACTCCCAAATTAATCCATATTCTCAATGCACTGAGGTGTAAGACCCACGGCCTGTATCAGTAGAGAAAGGAAGACAGCGACAAAGCTCCACGGCCCAAGTGAGATAAAGCCAAGAAAATTCACGGGTAAAAGCCAATATCAGCACCATCTAGCTCCAGACCCGAAATAAACTCCTAAGGTGACTCACGACCAAGGGAAAACAAGGCCAATATAAAAGAGAGAGACCAACGGTTAGGACTTAAAGAAGGGAAGGACTCATGGCCACGACAAACAGGGCAGTCCAAACTAACTCCAAAGCATTGTAAGCAAGGCTCACAGCCAAGACCAAAGCCAAGACAAGAGGCAAAGGGAAAGGGAAGGCTCACGGC